GTGTGTGTGTGTGTGTGTGTGTGTGTGTGTGTTCACTGCTGTGTGTGTGCACTTTGGATGGGATAAATGCAAAGCACTAATTCCGAGTATGGGTCACCATACTTGGCCACATGTCACGTCACTTTTTTTTTGATGTCACTAATCAAATGTTCTTAACTAAACAAAACCAGGAGTTGCCCTCTCTGCATAAATAAATCTAAAATATGAAGTTTAAACAAACATTGGTCCACTTGCTCTGAAAGTTTCATGATTTATCCAGCTAGTGAACAAGACGCCTTTTAGCAGAACAAATGCAGAACCAAGAATATGAAAATAAGTTCATTTAAAAAAAAAAAAAGAAAAAATAATAGAAAAAGAAAAAACCTCTACAAATTTAGCAAACGTATTTAGTCTTAAATCAATTACATTTACTAAACACAAAGATGTTTTATTCTTGCAATAAATGAAAAAAAATATTTTGAGATGGTAAAAATTAATTGACTTTATACAATTATGAACAAAATGTTCCATGTAACATTCAAAAGTTTGGAATCAATAAGATCTTTAATGTTTTTGAAATAAGTCTTTTATGCTTATCAAGGCTGAAATTATTTGATAAAAAATACAGTAAAAACAGTAATATTATGAAAGATTATCACAATTTAAAGTGCCCCTATTATGGGTTATGAAAGGTTGGTATTTTGGTTTTGGGAGTCCCCAACAACAGGTTGAAATTCATGCAATGTCAAAAAAAAACTTTGTCTTATAATTATGCATTTTATTTTTACCTTATTTGCTCAATGACTCCCAAACGATTCGCTCATCGATTCATTTTTCCAAACCTCTTCTTTGCGTGCTGCTAATCTGCAGTGAATGGTCGGATTGGTCTCATTTTCATTTCATCATGCCTGTAATACCTGATAAAGCAGCGTTTGTGAGCTCAGTGCTGCTTTGTGTACAGCGTTACCAGGGAAACCGTTATTTTTACCGCTCCAAAAGCGGCACCTAGTGGCAAATAATGAATTTGCATTTTCATTCAGACCAACGCGAAAAGACCAACAAGTGGGCGGGCAATATGCTAATGTTTCATGTTGACGTCAACATGAAACATTTTAAAAACGACTCCTTTCAATGATTCAGAGTCGACTCTTTCTTTTGAGAGACAATAACTTTATACAAGGTGCACTTTCAGATTTAAAACTTTGCATGATGTTTTCATTCACTTAGAGCTCTGTTACACACTGCATGAAAGGTAATTTTCAAAAATCCATAATAGGGGCACTTTAAAATAACGGTTTTCTATTTTAATATACTTTTAAAAAACAGCTTTTAAGTTAATAAGAACTTATTAAGTTTTGTTACAATTATGTATAAAGAAAGATTTATGTTGTAGAATCAACTTGGAAATAAAACATAAAAGTGTCCCAGTTTGCCAGCAAGGCCCAGAAAGTTGTAATTTGAGGTCTGTGTGTGTTTGTAGAAGCACTTTTTTGTATTTAATATTTTTGTATTTTAATATTTTTATTATAGTGTATAGTGAGATGTTTAGCAGTTTAAAACGTTATTCCGTGAGGAGCTATGCCATTTTGAAGACTACGTCAAAGGCAAATGAATCAAAAAGTGTCCCATCTCATCCAGTAATAATATAGTAAAATCAAGATATAATTTAAGATAGACTTTACGTTTTGCTTCTGCTTCTCTTATATAAATATATTTTTTCTCCTGTCTGTAAACTTGCTGCTATGCATTTGGGGGTAAGCAGTAAGAATTTCACTGTATACAACATCAGAATGATTGAAATAGTGTCAGAAATAATGTAATGTGATACTTATTAAATTAGCTTTAAATTTTTCACAGGATCTGTACAAAAAGAAAGATGTTGAAACAATGTTGCAATATCACCGTTAATTGGTGTGATTATCAAAATTCACAGTGATTCTTCAATTTTGATCCATGATGTTAATTTACAAGTGAATAACTGGTTTACTTCATATAGTATACCATATTATTTATAGTAAATTCCTGATGTCAATATAAACTCTTTAAGGTATATTTAAATCAATTGTATCTTGAAAGGAGCAAATGAACACGAGTGTCAGTGTTTTAGAGAGAGGTGCAGAGTCACGCACTTTGCCCTGTGCACATTGTTGTGTGCTGCTTGCTCAGCCGTTCTCTCTTCTGTTGTTATACCACAACAAATGGTATTGCTCTTCTACAACTAAATGTCCTTTATACACTTTACGCCATCTGACTGGCTTTTGGAAACTCAATTTCCTTTTTCATCCCCAAAACACTAAATTTGGCCCCTCTTTTTTGGAGTAACCAAATTCATGAGTGACTCTGAGCATCTGAATGATGAAATGCCTAAAGGACAGGTCTGGTCTCCTGGATTAGGGACTTGTGAACCGATCATTGTGGTCATGACAGCCTTCCCAAGAGTTTGATTGTATGACAGCAGTTGACAGAAAGGATAGTTTTTCAAAAACATTTACTGGAGAAAGTCCTCTCTTACTGGTCAGTTTGTGATGTCTGAGGTACAATCAGGTAAGCATCCATTTATTATATTATTTTATTTTATATTTATTTATTACTTTATTTAAGGGGGGGGTGTATTCTTATGTTCACTGCTCTGACAGTGCGATTATGCTGTTACTAACATTTGATAATGTAATTCATTATGTGTTGAAATCATTGTGATATGATGCTTTTCTCCATGGCGTTGTTCTTGCTATGTTGATCATGATGAGTGATGTAATTTATTATTTTGTTATGGTTATAGGTTTAGTGGATGGTTTGGATCCAGAGGAAGAGGTGACAGATGTTGTATGTGACGAGGCAGAACTCAAAGATGGAGAGTAGGTTCCATATAAATGCCCGTCATTTTCATTTTTAATAATATGTATTATATTTTTAATATACATATTTAATTATGAAAGATTTGAATCTTTTATCAATGAAAACTCACAAAAGATCCTGAGCAATATTTAAAAGTCAATTCAAATTGTGGACTGGATTACAAATAGTTGCATCTAGTTTTAGACAGTTTTGATCATTGTTTTTAAGGCTGTAAATTTCTTTTAAGTCATATGTTTTGTACATTTACACTTTAGTTTAGGGACCAGTTCTCACTATTAAATAGTAGCTTATTAGCATGCATGTTACTAGCATATTGGTTTATTAGATCTCTTAATCCAACCCCATACCTAAACTTAACAACCTTACTAACTATTAATAAGCAGCAAATTAGGAGTTTTAAAGTTTCAAATTAGGAGGAAAAGTGCACTGTAAAAGTGCACTGTAAAACTTTTACAGTAAATTATATATATTTATACACACACACACACACACACACACACACACACACACACATCAAACAGCAACAGCACCTACAGTGGGTATAGAAAAGAATCACCCCCCCCTTTAAAAGAATCACATTTTGTTGCTTTGCATCCTGAAATGAAGACAGACACCGTTTTTGTTTTATCCAGCTGTATTTACTCATTGCAACTTATACAATTCAAGTGAAAGATATAACACCAACATGTCAAAAAAAAAAAACAATCACTGAGTTGGAAAAAGGACCATCCCCTTGTGTCAGTATTTAATTGAACCACCTTTTGCTTTAATTACAGTCTTTAGTCTGTTGGAATATGTCCCTACTAATTTTGCACATCTAGACAATATTTGCCCACTCTTTTTTGCAGAACTGCTCAAGTTCAGTTAAATTCTGCAAGTCATTCCACAT